ACTGCTGCCTGGAACTCCAGGGCTCAAGGGATCCTCCTGCCTCAGCCTCCCGAGTAGCTGGGACTACACGCATGAACAACGATGTCCAGCTAATTTTTTTCTATATATTTTCAGTTGTTTGGCTAATTTCTTTCTATTTTTTTTAGTAGAGACGGGGGTCTCGCTCTTGCTCAGGCTTGGTCTCGAACTCCTGAGCTCAAACAATCCACCCGCCTCGGCCTCCCAGAGTGCTAGGATTACAGGCGTGAGCCACCGCGGCCGGCCTGCCGTTATTTCTAAAGTGGATTTCAATTGTTAGAATTAGGGTGCTCGGGTGCTCAGCTGCTTGTCTCTCAGGGAGAGGATCAAGGTGAGACGTTGCCAAGTGTTTCAGAACAAAAATCCACTCTACTTCAGCAGGACGTCCACCCACCTTGCACAACGCCGCCCTTTGGAAAGAAGTCTTTCGGGTTGAAAGCTGGAGGCGTGGGAAAACGAGGTATGTAAGCCGAGCGCTGGAGGCCCATCGGCCTCACCCCCGCCCCCGCCCTACGCCCCATCCGCCTCCACGCACCTGGGGCGCTGCCACCTGCCGCCCAGGGCGCCCCTGTAACCCTAGGGGTGGGTGCGGAGCCCAGGCAGCCCACCAGGCCCGGGGAAAGCCCAGACTTGGGGCCCTGGGAGTTTTCCCACCTTACAGGACTGGTTTTGCAGTTGACCAAGAACTCTAAAACCCCCAGGCAGTAGGGGTTACTTTGGGGTGACCCTCACACTCTGTCCTAGGAAGGCCAGGAAAGTAAGTGACGCTGTAATGAAAATGACGGATTCACGGTTGTGGAAGGAATAGGTTTATTTTTTGGAACAAGTCAAGGTGTCCTGTGGTGAGGGAAGGAGAAGTCCATTTCTCCAGCGATCTCAGAACTGCATGTCCTGCCAGTTCACCCAGGAAAATGCCAGACCCACCTTCCAGCACTATGAGGATGCCAGAGGAGGCAAGGCCGCGGGTAGGGGACTGGACATACCCGCCGCAGGTCCGCTCTCCATCCAGGAGCCGGAGCCCGAGCAGGAGCGCGCTGCGTTCTCCGCATCCTTCTCTGCCTGCCGGCCGCCCCTTGGCAGACCTCAGTTTCCATGTGTGAAAAATGGGCACATTACCAACTCACCTCCCTTGCCAAGAGAGAAGGGTTGGGGTGTTTCGGTTTCAGCCCCGCTACAGAAACCACCGGAGCAAACAGGAGCTTCTTTTATTGTTAATTCAAAGAAAAAAAAAATGCGAGAAGCGTGAATCCGGAGGAGAAATGCTTCTCTCAGAGTAAGCGGGGAGCCGGCTCAGAGGATGGCTGGAGGAAGGACAAACTGGACAGGGCTTATGGAGCATATGACTGTAAACCTGCACTTGTGCACAAATGCAACAATGCATAAAGAGTGTCAAGACCCACAGAGGGTCATGTGGGATTCAACACCTTAGGAGACTGAATCGCCCACTGTACCAGTCCCGACGACCAGGAGGGCCCCTTTTCTGCGCTTGCGCGACAATCTCGTTTCCCCCACCCTCGAGCCCCGCCCCCGAGCTGGCCCCGCCCCGCCCCTTCCCCTCCCCTTCCTCTGCGAGGCCGCCCGCGCAGAGCATTGTGGGACACAAACAAAGTGCCCCCAAACAGGCTGGAGTGAGCGGAGCGGCAACGGCGGCGCCGGCCCGCACGCGCGCGGCGGCGGCTCCCTCCCAACCTCCCCCTCCCCTCCCCTCACTCCCCGTCCCCTTCCCCACCCCGCCCCGCCGGGAAAACACGAGCCGTCGCCGCGCTCCCCAAATCGCCTCCTGCCTTCGGCCAACCGTCCCCAACGGCCGCCCGCGCACGGCTCCCGGGCCCCCTGGCTCTTCCCCGCAGGCCCCTCCGAGCGCCGGGGGGTGCTTTCCTCCCCGCCGCTTTGCACTTTCCCACCTCACAGGCACGCCGGTGGGCAGTGCCGCCATGCCCCAGCCACAGGCTGCTCACGGGCCTAGGCGCGGCGGCCCGAGATAGGGTCCCCTGAGCCTCCCGGGGGAGGAGAGGGAGCGAGCCGCGCGCTCCGCCCCCTCCCCCCGGGCTGTCGCCGCCGCCGCCACCTCGCTGCTTCAGCCTGGCGGGGAGGAGGAGGAGCAGCAGCAGGCCTCCGGGCCCCGGCACCGCCGCCCGCAGGTAATGGGGAGGGGAGGGCAAGGGGGCCGCCTTGCCCGAGCGGGGGTGGGGGGGATGGCCAGGCGCTGCACGCCGCCCGGGGACTGACCACGCGTCTCGCACCTGGGCGCTGGAGGGAAAGGAAAGCATGGTCTGTCCCCCCCCATCTGTTCAGGGAGACACCCCACAGGGTCCCCCCCCAGTGGCATTTAATCCCTTAGGAAGGAGACTGGCCTTGGGCCCCTCAGTCCAGAGGCAATTACCCCGATCTTTCAGGGTGCTGCCGGGCATTTGCACGCTCATTTGCCCAAAACCCTAACCCGAAGCAGT